TGCACAGTTTGGAGATAACAACTACCCTGGAGGCTTCGACTGTTTGTGGGTGCTCACCGCCGAGAAGGGTTACGGAGTTGAGATCATCTTCCAAGTGTTTGAGATTGAAGAAGAGGCAGACTGTGGCTATGATTATCTAGAGTTGTACGACGGCGCTGACATAAAGTCTCCCAGACTGGGGCGATACTGTGGATCGGGGGTACGAACTTTTATAATGTTCTTGATGCAGTTCAGTAGCATAAGTGTCTCTAAAAATGACATGTGTGTGTTTCTCGGTTCCCTCAGGCTCCAGAGGATGTCTATTCAGCCGGAGATGCCATTCTGTTAAAGTTCCACTCAGACGACAGCATCAGTAAAAAAGGCTTTCATGCACGCTACACCAGTACAAAGTTCCAGGACACGTTACACACCAGCAGTTAGGCCAAATCACAAACTCCCATCTGGGTCACACCCATTTCCAGGCGACTAGTAAATTCTGGGCTTGGTACCACAAATACCACCCCACATATTTTACATCTGTAATGTTAATTGAAACCATACAGAAAAATCTTCCTGTCTTCACTTTCAGAGCGGTTTAGTTTTACCAGAGATGAGGAAATCATTTCCATTTATAAACATATTATAGAAACACACTGGATTAATATTAAAATATAAGTTGCTATTATTAGCCAAGACTTTAAAAAACAATTAAAGGATGGAAAGAGTCAGCTTGGAAAAACGTGTTATTCAGTATATTTGCATTTCCTAATGGAAAAACTATGCTGTCTTCCTAAATGTTGTTGTTGTTGTTGTTGTTTTTTCTTTATTTGTTTTAATGTGTTCAATGGATACCATGTACAAAAGAAACTGGGACGCCCAAGGTGAAACGCATTTTATTGATATTTAATATCACAACTATGTAGACATTTTTTTGCTGAAAATTTCAGTTCTCTTTTCTAGTTGTGCTCTGACATCAACTGCAGCAAGTTAAAAAGGAGACGTGAAGCTTTAGAAAGGAATGCAATTCCAGAATTTTACTTGTGTTGATTGCAAACAAGCAAATACTTCTAAAAACTTTTTATGAGGTCTGCAGTTAAAAAAAGAAATATAGCTGGAAATGGCTAATTCTGATCAACAATCAGTATAAATGCTCTGCAGGATGTTTCCAGTGTATAACGTTCATTGTAATGGCATCTTAAATAAATGATGCCCTAATGATGTGAACACAACATTTTCTAAATAAAGCGTTCCTGCGGAGACTTGGGGATCATTTTGTTTATTGTTTGCCACCCTTTCACTTTTCTTATACTTGTTCACAGTTTTTTTCTCACTGTAAACACATGCACCTGCTAGTGAGTTACCCTTTTTTTGTAGCTATTACCTGATTTATGAATATCAACACAAATCTCCCTTACTAATCTGTATGGTTTATTGTCTTTCCCATTTTAAAAAGTGGCTGAGATAACTTGTCTTCTGTGTTGCCTCATTTTTGCAGTGCACAGAAACAGGAAAACAGTTTAAGCTACTTATGAAATTCTCATAGACATTTACCAAAGATGCTGATAAGTGTGGAGGAGGCTCCGGCTGGACTGGATAGGTTACATGATTTTATTTTATTTTTTTAATGAAATTAGTTATTGATTTACATTTGGCTGTGATAGGATATAAAGAAAAAAAAGTCTTATTGAACAAATGATTAAGAAAAACATAAACTAGAGATTTATAGGAAAGTGGAAAAAAAGAAAAAACAAACTATAGGTTTTAAAGATATTCTGTTGATGTATTTCCATTTTTACCTTATTTATTCATTTACATATTTAAAGCTACAGTGTGTAATAATTACAGGGATATACAGTCAGAAATGTAATATATTATACATAACTATGTTATTTATCATCATCTACGAGCTCAGCCTCTTAACCTTAATATTTGCGTTGCCTTAGAATTTGTTATTTATAATTACATAGGAGCGGGTCTCGCAGCCATGGAGGCAGACATCTTTGCGCTACGGCAGCGCAGAGCCAACAAACTAGCGATTCCGAGATCGCCCATTACGCTCCAAAGTAACTACGGCAAGTTGAGAGAGATGAACTGAGACGGTACTGAACAATAGATGGCAGTATTAAAATTATCTATGTAAACAAACCTCATCACTTGAGAAGGTAGGTGATGCGGACATCGTGGAAGACATTTTGTCCCGTAACGCTCGCCGTACTGTTGGGGGGGAGAAGCGGTGGGGGGGAGATGTTCATGTTGCTGCGGTCTGCAGTCTGGACGTTAGATGTTGCTGAAAATTACACACTGTAGCTTTAAAGGCAAGGTATAGAGACATATTAAACTTCAACAGAATAAAGACACATTTTACCAGGTTCCAACTTCTTAGCTAGATTCCATATTTGGAGTAGTACCATCCTTTGGTACTCCAGAGGCGAAGCCCTTATTGGTGGTTCAGATAGATCAGGGGGTCTATTTGAGTTACCTGGAGTCTCATTTAGTTGGATCTATGAAGCATTTTAAAGGACAATCCACAAATCAGACAGGAAATGAGAAAATGGCAAAGTATAACACATCCGATTTGGGGAAAATACACTCCCACATGGTCAAACTTCAATTAACCAATTTCTGATCACGGAAGTAAAACAAAGAAACTGTGATCTTCTTTTAGCCTGACTAGGCAGCAGGTATATTTCTGTTTACTCACAGAGCAACATGTTTTAAAATGGATTTGGTGATTCCATGCACATATTTTCTATTTAAATATTTGATTTTCACATCCAGTGGTCAATCAGTTACTACACTAGTTGGAGGCAAGAAGTCAGTTTGTAAAATGGAGAGTCTGATCACAAGCAGTGTGTGTTTTGTAGGTCAATTTAAGTTTATAAACTTTGAGAGAAGGATTAGATGGCTCAATTTATAAGAAGCTTGGCATTTAGTCTTCTCCCACCTCCACACCTTTCTCCACCTTTAATTTTAGTAATTTTTGCCAATAAGATGTTTTTTCCTTTTTCAAATCTTGTCTAATATCTAAACCTTGGTAAATAATTGCATTAGGTTTGACCATATTGAAGGTTTTATAATTGAAATTGTATAAAAATAATTTATTATTGATGAGGATAAAATTGCAAAAGAAATGTACTTTTTTAATGGATATATGTAATAAAAGAGTCATTGATGTTACTTGCTATAAAGGAAGCACCGAAATAAGGAGGCACCGTCATTTCGAATTGAATTTCCTTTATCTTTTTATATTCCCTTTCTGTGAGTTTTTTAAGTATTATTCAGAGTTGTGTATTTATACCTTCTGCATCTTTAATCAAATGTATATAGCACATTTTTCTTTAAATATCTTTTACTCTGTGCATAGAACAATTTTGAAAGAAATAATTGAGGATGGAGTCTCTTTTTCTTTGTCAGAGTCTTAAGTGTGGCATTTAGCCAGGGTATTGATAAAAAAAAAATTCAATTGTAGATATTAAAGTCTTTTGTATCTCTTTACAGTTTATGTCCAGAATAAATTCATTCTTTTCTATGTTTTGTAGCTCATATTCAAATATTTGTTCTACAAATGAACAAATGTTCCCTTATCTTTGGACTCCTGATTCTTGAATCATGTGTTTGATAGTTGACATTCACCAAATTAAAGTTATGATCAGACACGCTGTCTTGAGAGCTGCTGTAATTTTTCAGTTTCTAAGGCAAAACATTTTTTGTTTAGTTGGCCTCCAAAAAGAACCTGAGTCATCATTACTGGATCCAAAAGTATTTTTTTGCATGATTTGCAGTTTAAAACATTTTTGTTGCTTGTTGTTTTTCAGTCAAATTTTACTTTTCTGTAATTTGTTTCAGAAACTTACCAACTTTAAATACCTACATTTTGTTGAGTGCTGTTCAGGGTGTGGGAACATAAGTGGTGATTCCTAAACTGTAAACAGGCCCTTGTTGAATTTTTTCCCTGACCAGTTATTCCTTTAGCTTCAGTTAAGATAAAAGTGCTTCACAGTGTATAATTAAAACCACCAAGCCAGTCATGAGGGTAAAAGTATGTGTTTTTAGTGATAAAGAATAAAAAAAATCTTAAAAAATACCATACAAATTAGCAGGTTAAAGACTTTTTCATTTCACCTCAATTAAGTAAATATACAAGTATGGTGTCATCATTAAAGCACAGCTTCTCAGACAAAACATAGTACAAAAAACAGCGCAGGGCAGAAAAAAAAGCACATATAGTACATATTTATAAACCTCAGATAGGTGGCAGTTTAGCCCGCGCCTTTGTTCCCAATAGGACACTTTAGCATACATTTTGGCTTCCAAGTTGGTACTCTTGCACACATTTTAGATGCAAAGAGGGCACTTTAGCGCCCGGTTTGGCTTCCAAGAGGGTCCTTTAGCATATGTTCTGGCTCCTAAGAGGGAACTTTGGCATATTTTTTTTCCTTTAAGTGGAAACTTCAGCATACGTTTTGGCTTCCAAGAGGGGGCTTTGGGCCGGGCTTACACTGCAAATTTTTTTGCCTTTTTCGGGGCCACTTTCCAGTCATGCATGAATTTTCTGATCGGCCTGACTTTCAGCCTGATTGTGCATCATGTAGTGTACAGGGGGTAATGAGGGGCGATCAGCCTTTCACAACCACCTCCTGATCAGGAATTGTGAGGTCGAGAGAAAATTAAACATGTTTGATTTTCATTCGACCATCATGGGCTAATCACTCAGTGGGCATGCACAAACAAGGACTCTTCTTCTTCTTCCTCTCAGAAGAAAACACAGAAGCATGGCAGGGGTGTGAGAGAAATGGAGCTCTTTCTGTAAAATTGACAGACCGTAGTAGCCACGTTTGCTCAGCCATGTCTTTGCCCAAATACTTCGCCAACTTTTCTTCTTAGGGCTTTCAGCACAAAATTCTTAAGGCAGCGCGTGTCACTATAGTGAGCTTCATATTCCTCTTCTACTCGTTTGGCTTCTGGATAAACGAGTCCGAGTAGCACCATCTCATCGCAGTGCTTAGTCCGACGTGGTTTTTAGATGTACAGTGTGAGCAGGTAGATCGCATCAGAACGTCGGGTCAAACATGCATTGTGATCTGTGAACCCACACTGTACCACGAAACCCTGCGGTTTTCGTACAGCGTGAGCTGTAGCTGCATGCAACGATTGAAAAAAATTGCAGCGTATGCCCTGCTTTAGCAAACATTTTGACTCTTTAGCACTTAAGCATGTGTGCTTTCCAAACAGCAATTTAGTGTGCATTTCTGCTCCTGAGAAGACATTTTAGCATGCGTTTTTGGATTCCGACAGTGCACACATTTTGGCTTCCAAGTAGGCAGCAAGCGTTTTGGTTCCAGAGAAATCACTTTAGCACAAATTTTTGGTCCCAAGAAGGAACTTCAGCGCGGGTTTTGGCTTCCAAGGGAACACTTCACCATGTTTTTTTGCTTCCAAGAAGGCACTTTAGCAGACATTTTTGTGCTCGAGAGGTCACTTTAGATCACATTTAGGCTTCTGAGAACAGACTTTAGCACTTGTTTTGGCTTCCAAGGGAGTGCTTAAACACAGATATTAGCTCTCAAGTGGGCAATTTTGTATGTGTTTCTAACTCCAAGAGGGTGCTTTAGCTCTCGAGGGTGCAGTTTAGCACTGTTTTGGCTTCCAAGAGGGCAATTCAGCCCAGGCGTTGGTTTCCAAACTGGCACTTTAAGCATCCATTCTTGGTTTTCCAAGATGGCTTCCAATAGCTAGCATTTTTCAACAGTTGGGTCGCAAGTGCATGCCACCGATATAAAGTATACACTAAACCATATGTTTCCCAAAATGCTACTTAGGATACACCATATATGACTAACTGTATTTTTTGGATACACAATGGAAATTGCAAAGCTTTTGTTTTTTATAATATAAAACAAATGATATATATACAGTTTAAATCCATACCTGAATTAAATAAATAATGTTCTAAGGAGTCAAACCTGCTTATTACACTTGTCTTTGATCATTAGTTTGCCAGAATTCTGGAGATCTTTTCGTTTAGGCTTTGGCTATCTATTTTTTAATTTTATGTACAAATAAGACAATTGATGATTGATCCATATTTGCTCAATTAGCAACCACTAATCAACACAAAGTTTCTTAAATCTGGAAAAAAAAATCTTGACTCATACTCAGCTGTGCATCACCTTTTAGTCGATCAACAACTTTACATGTAACTGATGCTGAATTACTATAAACTGTTGTTTTTAATGGCATTTCTTAAGTTTAACGAAAGAATTGAGAAAAGCCCAAAGAATGTGAGCAGCACTTTAAAGGTTTTCAAGAAAGTCAGTCTTCCTGGAAACAAATATGAATAAACAAGCTTTGGCTCATGACTTTGCACATTGTTGTAAACCCTTAGAAACCATTTTTCTTATGTTTAACTTTAGACATGCTTGCTTGCTTACTCTTCTGTGTTTAGATCTTTGGTAAGAAAACTTTGAGAGGCTCATTTTCATGGACTTTATCCAGAAAGCCGAGGTTAAAGTACGGGTACAGAGTCTCAGTGAAGGTCTCTCTGAACGTGTAGAGATGGGTCATGCTCTCTGCATTGTAAAAGGACACCAGGCCCCGCTTGTAATCCAGGTAGACGCCAATCCGGGCCAGTGGCTCTTCCAGGGAGAGGACAGTCGGAGGGGATGTGCCAGCCATGTACCTAACACCATATGAGAGAGTGAGAGTCCAGAATCCGTTAGCTGGGAGTGCCTTGATGACTCCTTTTCTGGGAACCGACTCCCGGGCTACCCCCACCGTCCACACGGTGCTGCTGTAGACCTCAATCTCCCAGTAGTGGCGCCCGTGAGTGAAGCCCTGACTTGCGAGCAGAGACAGAGCGGCGTTGAACCTGTTGGGGTTGTCCTTCACAGTGTAGTTGAAAGTCTGGTATCGGACACAGGTGAGGGAGGAACTCAGGCTGAGCCACGGGTTGGCAGTACTGGAGTTAAACGTAATAGCTGCTGGAACTAAGCAGAAGGAGAATGTTTTTATTTAGAACCTTGTCAAATCTTGTCGGGCTACAACAAACTTTAATGTGATGTATTTAGAATTTTATATAATATATAAAAACATAATAGAGCAGAATTTGGAAGCAAAGGAAAAGGGAAATCTGAAAAGTGTGGCATGTAATTGTCAGACTGGATGGGGACCAACTGTGAACAGAATTGTTCATGTCTTGCCATAAATGTTCTATTTAATGTGGGACTGTAATATGACTGGGTAATTTCTCGTTTGGGTCTTCTTTGATTTAAACTTTTCGTTTGCCTGACCGAATGTTTAGAGCTATTGTCATGCATGTGGACTGCATTGGCAGGTTTTCCTCTACAATAGCTGTCCAGCTTTCCATCTACTCTAATGCTGTGTCTAATTTGTTTCAGAAGTTGGAGCTAGGAATGCCGTCACACCCATAACTCAAATTTCCTATCTTGGAAACACAGTATTTCCCCTTATTTCACATTTTCACCAAAGGAAAATATTTACAGTTATTATTGTAAGATTTCTCTATCTTTAACCCTTTCAATCATAAGCCCATTTGAACCCAATTACATACCTCTTACATATATTCCGGATGCTAAACTCTGTAAGTTATATCTTTTGTAAGATCTGACTATCTGATTAGAATTTTAGACATTGATATTTATTAGAAACATTAGGAAATCAAAGAAAATCCAACTTCTGAGAGAAGATGGTAAAAGGCCTTAATGATGCTGCCAACACATTCATCATGACCAAACACCTGAGGCCTTCAAAGGACAGCGTTATCTATCTTGAGATTAAATTACTAACGTTGCCTTTGAGATAACTGTGTTTGAGAGTACAGAGGTTAAATTGAATAGGAGTGCACACATTCATGTTTTTTGTTTGTAAATTTTTTTTTCTTCAATTTTACAATCAGTTAATTGAACTGATCTTTCACATAAAATACCAATAAAAACATTTAAGCTCATTGTTGTAATCTAAAGAAAGCATAAGAGATATAAATACTTTTAAAGACAGTGTTGGTTTAGCTTTTTAAGACTGATATCTGTGGACCTCAGTATTTTTGGAGTCAAAGTGTTAAATTATTACCTGGGTAAAGGCTGCCCTTCATAGATTTCCAAACTCTGTACTGCAGAGGCCCCGCAAAGCGACCCTCACATAAACTCGGTGGAGTCAAGGTTGGTTTCTCAAACTTGACAGAAGGTCTGCCAACAACATCAAATGATGAAGGGAAATGAGCACACATCTTTCCAAAGGAAATCATACCCTAAGATTTCTCACACTCACCTCTGGAGCAGGGCTTTGATGCTCTAACACGATAGGCAGGAATAAACACAGGAAGAGACACACACACAGAGAACGATAATTAGTTTGTTGGATTTGAATAAGGAGAAATCCTTTTTCCACATTACATCAACGTCTGGGCTCATGCTGTCCCACCCTGCGGGATCTCTCTGTGGCCCCGGGAAAGTCCCGCAGCTGAAGCCAGAGATAATGTGGCAAAGTGCCTGAGCTTAACTTCTCCAGATGAAGGAGCAAGATTACTTGTCTGCATCCTGTCTTAATTCCCTGAGAGATGGAGTCTTTTGTTTTTAAATGTTCCAACCATATTGCTGACATTACCAAATGGTTTCGTTTTGATATCATAGAATATCTACTGTATAAGGCGTAAGTAAAATCTTTAAATGTTAGAGTCTGTTAAATATGTGACATGTTCTGGCTAAATGGAATTCCTTCTGGTTCCACCTCCTCCGCAAAAACAGATTTAAAAAAACCTTTACTCAACATTTTTTCTCAATAATCATCCTCACTGCTAACTCATCATTCTGGTAATAACTTCCAGATGAGTTGATCTACACTCATTTTTCACAGAGCTGAACTTACACGGAGCAGAGTGTAAGCGTCCTGCTCTTTGAGTTTGTCCTCTATCTCATGGACGGCCCTCTGCAGACGAGAAATCTCCACACACAGCAGCGCCTTGTGCTCATCCAGGCGGATCAGCTCCCTGCGCTCCTCCGTCTTCAGCTTTACCTGTAGCAGCTTTTCCTCCTGGTACAGGAACTGGTGGAGGTCACTGAACTGTGCCTCAATGCGCTGCTTCAGATCGGCAGTGTGCTCCTGGGGTTAGAGGCAATGGATGTGGGTGGGAAACACTTTACAAACTATCAACAAATTATGAAGTTTCTATGAGAAACATTTTAGAAATACACAAAAATGAGATGATTGTTTCTGAAAAACACATTTCATTTGGAAAAGATATAAAATCTTTGAAACAACTAATATAGCCCATTGGCTATGTTACAATTATTACCAATAATGATGTATGAGTCTGTTACACCCTAATGCCTGCATGTTGTGTGTCAGAACTAATGTTTTCCCAAGTAGTTAATCTAATTAGGACAATGGTCAAAAGGCCATCTTCATTATGTACGTGGCAAAGATCTGGGAATGTAATGAGAGCGATAAAACTTGAGCCATGGATGTCTCCTCATCTGCAAACGTATATGATGTAAAATGTGATGATGTGGCATACTGGAGTGCCCCTTCACAGGTGGTAAGAGCTGCCTTTTGTAACTCTAAGCACTCTGATCTGATTAAGATTACAATTTCTGTCAAAATCTGTTGTCTTGTCTCATGGTTATTTAATACATATACATTATGAAGTGTTATTTAAAGAGTTTGTTCTGAGTGATTTCTTCTCATGAAAAGAACCAGAGAGATAAAGATTCAAGGTGTAAACTCAGAAACTTTCCTCAACAGCTAAAAAAAAGACTTCTGAAAAGTTGACTGACAGCACTTGGTCTTATGTAAGCATCAAAGAAGCATTTAACCAAAATCCATAGTAATTTACTAACACAATCAATCATCTTTAAACACAAAAACAAAAGAGCGATGGAATATTGCCGGCATTAGCATCAACTTTGGAGACTATGGCTGTGTCCAAATGTCCAAATAATTACTATTTAGGGCACTATGTAGGAGTTACGGCATTTTAAACGAATGTCCGAATGTTTAGTGGATGAAAAAGTAGTGGAATCAAAACTTCCCGCAATGCACCTTAAAAAGTAGTGATCATCCATGGTCATTAGATGACAAAATATTGTATATCCCGGAATTCTTTCCGCAGAGAGCTGTCCGTGCAAAGCATTATGGGATTTGCTGTCACAACAAAGATGGCGCAGGCACAACGTGGTGGAGGCGGAGTTACGTGACCGGGGAGCAAAAGATAATGATCATCTGTCTGAATGGTCAAGTTACTGACTTCAATATAAAGTCCACTATATAGTCCCCGCCCTATATAGTGATTGAGGAATCTAGTGGTTAGGGTGGATCTTTTTGTATGAGCGTCTAGTGGATGAAAAAGTAGTGGACTTGAAATTTACCACATTAAACATTGAAAAGTAGTGTACATTGTTGGTCACAAGGTGAGAAGATATATACCAGAATGCTTTGCAACAGTTCTTCTCACAAAGAATCATGGAATTTGTTTTGGGGGGGTGAGAGACAAAGATGTCCCAGACAGGAAGCCTTGAGTCCAATGGGGAGCCAAAAGTAGTGATCATTTGTCTGCACAGTTAACTGAGTTCCCCATATTGTCCCATTCTGTATAGTGATTGTGGGGTTAGGGCGGACGTTTTGACACAACCTATTAGTGTCAAACTGAAAGGGAATTTAGTGCCAAACTAAAAGGGTGTTTTTAGTGAAAACAGAAAGGCAAGCACTTTGAGGGGTTACTTGGACAAACTTACATTGGAATGATCTACACGGAGAACAGAAGCTTTGAGAGGCAATTTGAGATTTCATATTGCATGTTTATATAGTTTTTTTTTAAGATGCTTAAAATAAACTGATCGCACACTGGCCACCCAATGCTGGCCCAGGGCAGGGGACAATGGAGGAAATAAACACTTCAGAATTCATAATGCTGTAAGTATTTAAAGTATTTCTTGATAGATGTGTTTAATCCCACCTTGAGCTTTTTGACTTCTTCCTCAGCCTCCTTGTCACACTGCAGCGCTGTGTTCAGCTCAGCTTTTAAGGAATCCATTGAGCTGTTAAGAAATCCCTGTTTAGAGAAGAAACACAAAATAACTGTGACTCACTGCAAACACAATTTCACAACTTTGAATGGCTTTTGTGGAAAACAACATCTGATAAATCCATCCTGCAAACCTGAGTGAAAAGAAACTACACTATTTGCAACCCAATTGATTACTTATATTCCTGACTCCTTACCTTACCAGGCAAAGCAAGCCAAGTTTATTTATACAGCACATTTCAGTGGCAAGGCAATTCAACATGCTGAATCAGAAAACTTGAAACACATATTAAGCTAAATTGTCTCCTGCAGATAGGCAGGTAACCAAACTCACCCTGTATTTCTGCTCAGCCTCCTGAACACATATCATAGTGTGATTTCTGTGTTCCTGAGACAAGCCACACACCAAACACACCAGCTCCTGGTCTTCCTCGCAGTAAAGCTTCAATTCCTCCCTGTGTCTTATGCAGCGTGGGGCTGGAGCAGGAGCAGGAGCCCTTTCTGCGCATCCTCCATCGGTCAGGCATCCTTCACTCCTGCTCTCCTCCAATCCATGACAGTAGCTCTCCACAATGTTGGCCACGATGCGGTTGGGTCGGTAGCTCTTCCCTGAGTACATCTTCCTGCATTGAGGACAGGAGCCTGTGCCCCCCTGTCCAGAGCCCCGTGGCCCTGTCCAGTAGCCATCAATGCAGCCCTGACAGAAAGTGTGATCACATGGCAGGGAAACAGGTTGTTTGAAAAGATCCAAGCATATGGAGCAGGTCAGATCTCTACTGATTCTGTTAGCTGAACTTTTGGCAACTTGTCCTGCTATGGGAGAAGGTCGGATCTTTTCCATTGTTGCTTGAATAGCAAAATCTTCTTTGGAGTTCCAGCCGTTTTTATCAGACCTTTGTCCTTTGTTAAGTCTTTCCAAGTTTTGTAGATATATTGTCTGGACTTTCTTCACTTCTTGCTGGTTATTACTCATTCCTTCACCTTTTCTGTGCTCCTTTGTTCTGAGTGTGCAGCTGGAACCTGGTCGTCCCTCCTCTCCTGTAGACTGCGACCACTCTGTCTGGCCTGCAGCCTTCCTGTTGACTACTGGGAAAATAAAGTGGGAGGCGGAGAAGTAGCCTCAATCACAGCAACAGATAGAGAGGGGATCTCAGTGCCCCCCTCTTTCCCCCAACTCAGACGTCACATGGTCAGGAAATTGAGGCGGGCCTTAGATATTCTTTTCTTGGCTCGTTTGATCACTGAAGGCTGAGCAAAAATTCCTGCTTCACCGAACTCTAGAACCCACAAAAATGCTAAACTGTACATTATGAGGTGTGTGTGTCTGTGTTATTTGAATTAGTGAGTAATATGAAAAAGCATAAGCAGATCTACGTTGGGTGTTGAAGGTCAGGTTTCCTGTATCTTTTTATGAAACCGCGCTCCTCCTTCGGCTGAAAGTAAACAAAATCATTAAAACTGTTAACAATGGCATGGGAAAAACTGCAGGAAGAACACTCTAGAGGGGAAGAGAAGAGACATCCTGCATGAAATCATGCTTTCCTGTGTGGATTCTATTGTGGACACAAATGAGAAAACATTACATTTGCACAGTTTTATTTCGAAGAACTTTACAAACGTTGTAAACAAAGCAGAAATTTTGCCCTTGAAAACTCCCGACATTACAGTGGGGCAAAAAAGTATTTAGTCAGCCACCAATAGTGCAAGTTCTCCCACTTAAAAAGATGAGAGAGGCCGGTAATTTTCATCATAGATATACCTCAACTATGAGAGACAAAATGAAAAAAAAATCCAGAAAATCACATTGTCTGATTTTTAAAGAATTTATTTGCAAAATATGGTGGAAAATAAGTATTAGGTCAGTTACAAACAAGCAAGATTTCTGGCTCTCACAGACCTGTAACTTCTTCTGTAAGAGGCTCCTCTGTCCTCCACTCGTTACCTTCATTAATGGCACCTGTTTGAACCCGTTATCAGTATAAAAGACACCTGTCCACAACCTCAAACAGTCACACTCTAAACTCCACCATGGCCAAAACTAGAGAGCTGTCAAAGGACACCCGAAACAAAATTATAGACCTGCACCAGGCTGGGAAGTCTGAATCTGCAATAGGTAAACAGCTTGGTGTGAAGAAATCAACTGTGGGATCAATTATTAGAAGATGGAAAACATACAAGACCACTGATAATCTTCCTCGATCTGGGGCTCCACGCAAGATCTCACCCCGTGGGGTCAAAATGATCACAAGAACGGTGAGTAAAAATCCCAGAACCACACGGGGGGACCTAGTGAATGACCTGCAGAGAGCTGGGACCAAAGTAACAAAGGCTACCATCAGTAACACACTACGCCGCCAGGGACTCAAATCCTGCAGTGCCAGACGTGTCCCCCTGCTTAAGCCAGTACATGTCAAGGCCCGTCTCAAGTTTGCTAGAGAGCATTTGGATGATCCAGACGATGACTGGGAGAATATCATATGGTCAGATGAAACCAAAATAGAACTTTTTGGTAAAAACTCTACTCATCGTGTTTGGAGGAGAGAGAATGCTGAGTTGCATCCGAAGAACACCATACCTACAGTGAAGCATGGGGGTTGAAACATCATGCTTTGGGGCTGTTTTTCTGCTAAGCGACCAGGACGACTGATCCGTGTGAAGGAAAGTATGAATGGGGCCATGTATCGTAAAATTTTGAGTGAAAACCTCCTTCCATCAGCAAGGGCATTGAAGATGAAACGTGGCTGGGTCTTTCAGCATGACAATGATCCCAAACACACCGCCCGGGTAACGAAGGAGTGGCTTCGTAAGAAGCATTTCAAGGTCCTGGAGTGGCCTAGCCAGTCTCCAGATCTCAACCCCATAGAAAATCTTTGGAGGGAGTTGAAAGTCCGTGTTGCCCAGCGACAGCCCCAGAACATCACTGCTCTAGAGGAGATCTGCATGGAGGAATGGGCCAAAATACCAGCAACAGTGTGTGAAAACCTTGTGAAGACTTACAGAAAACGTTTGATCTCTGTCATTGCCAACAAAGGGTATATAACAAAGTATTGAGATGAACTTTTGTTATTGACCAAATACTTATTTTCCACCATATTTTGCAAATAAATTCTTTAAAAATCAGACAATGTGATTTTCTGGATTTTTTTTCTCATTTTGTCTCTCATAGTTGAGGTATATCTATGATGAAAATTACCGGCCTCTCTCATGTTTTTAAGTGGGAGAACTTGCACTATTGGTGGCTGACTAAATACTTTTTTGCCCCACTGTATGTCATTTTACAACCCAAAGTGTTTTTGTTTAATGTTTATGTCATAAACTAAAAGAAATCTGAATAAAATTGTAAAGAGAAATAATGTTTCACAAACCGAAATCTAAAGAATGGTTGTCATGTGTTTGTGCCCCACTCATTTACTCTGATACCCCTAATTGAAATTTGTTCAACCAACTCTCTATAGAATAAAAAAGGTATTATTACATAAGATTATTACATAACATTATTACATAAGCCATTATTATCACATAGCATTAATCCAACTATTCTGTGAGTGTCTCAGAGGTTTGTGGAAAAAAACATCATGAGAACCGCAGCAGTCAGGAGTAACTTGGTCACTCCAGAGGAGCTGCAGGGATTCATACCTCAGGTGGGGGAATTTGTTGACAACTTTTATTCCTGTTGCCTTCTAACAAGCCATTGTTGGACAGAGATCATTAGAGGACTCAGGGTAATCATAAATACATATGAGAATGTGACACAGGCACCATATTAACACCACATATATAGACTGGTTTACAATGACATACTTATGTTATAATATGGATTAAAGTTGAGATCAAAACCCAACATGTTGGTACAACTTTAAAGCCGATGTTCACAAACACTCCACGTCTAATTTGACAGACCCTCAGGCACTTTACAAAGATAATTGGATACCATTTTCAGTAGCTACATGTGCAAAACTATCAGAGAAATCCTGTTTTTAAAAAATACAGCTGTAGTTGGAGGAAAAGGCAGTTCTGTCAAACACATACTGCAAATGCACATCACACTTTTCAAAACTTTAGCTGTAAAAAGTCTAATTAATGAATCATATGTGCTCCATTTCACTTTATATTAGCTGCATGTTGGTCTATCAAATTAAAACCTAATTGAATCCAGATAAGTATGTGGCTGTAATGTGACATAGTTTAAGGTTCTAGTTGCTAGTGGTGATATTATAGAAGACATTAAATGTCAAGTGTAATATATTTGTTCAGGCTGTAGTATAAAATCAATTAAGTAAGTAGAGTTTGTAATGAAGCAAGCTGTAAGAGACCCATACAGCTTACGAGAGGTATAGGATGTTACATCAGGCTCTGTAAACAAACCTCTGATAATATTTATTTACTTCATACTTGTGTGATGATTTGTGACTAAATTAACAACCATCCTGGATTTTTGGACTCTTTTTCTGAAGGATTTGTTTTGCAGGAAATTTTCAAGCCTGAAAGAACTGCTGATAAACAGCTTTTGAAAAGACTTCAACTCTGTTTTGTTGTGTGGTTTGTGATGAAACGATAATGTTGCTTTGAATAGATTTATATGTGGCTCTTTAGATTTATCAAATTGTTCTTAGAGGCAGAATTGGCCCTATGTTAAGCAAACTATGCCTATGGACCCCATCCCTCCATAGATGCTTTAATTTGGACAGAGAACATAGATCAGAAACTAGAATATGTTTATATCTGAATTAATGGTTTCAGCATTAATAAACTTAAAATGTTTAAAATAGTTTAAAATGTAAGATTTTAAGGAATTGGCAGTGTTAATGCATCATTGTTTGATTGCTGTGTAAACAGCAGATCAAGATCTGATCTTTAAGGGCCTCCGATTCCATTATCTGTATCAAAACACTCTTTATTCTGGTGAACAGGAACTGGAAAATGGGACCCCAATTAAATGATATGTTAGGTTCCTCGGCCCTGGGCCAGAACTCTCTGGAAAAGATACATTTCTAGATAGGTTTGATATATTTTAAGTCCTAGAAGGTTTTTCAGTTTATGATTTGTATTCATTAATTTAACTCACATGTCTATCCAAAAGCAGGATCCTTTAAGTATTTGCTGAATCACAACCCCTTTGTCTGCACACTATAGTGACCTCTAGTGCAAGAGATGCAACAAACTTTCTGTGAGTGAAGAAAGTAAAACCTTATAAATATTTGTCATACCTATATGTAGTTAAGCAAGAGATTAACTTAGAAAATATATAAAATAGAATTTTTAGAAAAGCAAAAAAACTTTTTAAAGCAAATCTTAAACGTTTTGTGTTACTATCAATTAAGAACATTTACACTTGTTAAAACTGTTATGTGATTACCTTTCAGTGTCTCAAAGCATGTTCATACTACCTTTCTTGAGTTAAATATAACCAGTTATTACATCATTTTAAATTCTGATTGGCAAGACTTCAAAGTGTATATAGGCGTTCAATTTAGAGTTTAAATAGATTGTTGAATTTCTTTACTTTCCACTCCTGGGTTTACTTAGTTTAGAAATTGCAGTAATACAGTTAGGAACATTTAAAGTAATTTTACTTTTATGGATCTGTTGAACCTTGTCCAAACATCTTTCAAAGCCCACTTCTGATTGGTTGAGTTGCTTGTAATGTCTCCTCTCTTCTTAACCTAGCGGCAAGAAAGATAAGATATTAGACACTGCTATATATTAGTGTCTATGGACCAGGTCTGTTGGAAAAACATAAACAGGATAAAAAGGACATTTTAGGGTCCAGTGAAAATCCTTCCTATCATATTCTACAAAAACTAAATAAAAAAAAGCCAATGAGTTATTCCAACATCAAATTTCTCGTTTGGATTGATAAAATAATTTTGAATTGACATGATGACATGATTTTCTAAATCTAAATTTTTGGGGGACATTTCTGGATTTTTGGCTGTGTACACTTTGAGTGTGGATCTTAAGCAAAGCTTTTACAGTAAATGAGAGGATATTGTAAATTGTAGGATATTGCTTTTATTAAACTTCACTGCAAACACAGTGCAACTGTTTGTTGAGCTTTGTTTATCCCCATTGTGACCTTATGGTCTGATCAATATGTGTGTCAATTAGT